AACAACCCCCGCCGCAATGTGGTGCATTCTCACCTGCGCATGACTCACCGACTGACCGATGCGGATGCAGAGGTGTGGACCACACACACATAGCAGCAAGTCGCATCTTGATGTGCTCTTGTCGTGGTTTATGTTATTGTGCAGCAGCTTGCTGCCCCTTCTGTGCCACCGACGCCGGCGACCGTGACCAGCACACGTACGAGGGCCGCCTTCTCTGCGAGTCACCCACACATCGTGCCCCTGTGTATGTGTGTGTGTGTGTACGTGCAGCTACCGCGACCCAGCTCTCCGCCGCTACGGTGGTCCCTCAGCCACAAAGCGACACCTCGTCTGCCGGGGCGTCCACCGCCGATGACGACGAAGCAATACCGTGAGCACACACGCTAGATCAGCTGATGGGGTGAGTAGAGTGGCGTGCATGTGTTGCGGGTTGTGGACTATGGTGCATGCAGGCCACCCTTCGACGTGCTGCCGATCGACGGCGCCGATGACAGCTATGCTGGGGTGAGCCATGTGCAGTGGAAACAGCTAACTGGCTGGTTGGTGGGGAAAAGTGATAACAAGCGCTCTCTCTCGTGTATTCCGCGACCATCCATCAGGCTGCACAGTTTTCAGGCCCCTTACCGCCGATGCAGCCCCAACAGCATGCTACAGATGTGGAACCGACGACGAGTACCTGCTCAAGTAAGGCATCTGGACACGTGCATCCGTCGATCCATTCAGCACGCAATCGCTCTTTCCCCCTTCGCGTTGGTTGTAGGTGCGTGGAGCAGTCCCGATCCTCTCGGGGCCTCACTACGCCCCAATGTGGCCCTGAGAGACGACAGCTACCACCGCGATCACGAGGAAGAGGACGTCGAAATGGACGACACACAGCTGCTCGCCAAGGCCCACGACATCATCAGTGATATTCACTTGCCCGACGACATCATCATGACGGCCTGGCAGACCGGCGAATCCCACCGCATCATGATTGGGGTGGAGATTGGGGGCTTCCACGGATGTCACGCATTCAGTGTGAAGGGCCACACACACAAGGCGGTGAGGGAGGCGGTTGAGAAAGCATACAAGCACGCCGCCGATTTGCGGGCGGCCCACCACCGACGCAACAGGATGTGTGTGGAGTGAGCGCTGCGCTTGGCTGCCTGCCTGCCTGTTGGTGGCTGTCGTACGCTCTGTGTGTCCATCCGTTCGTGTGTATGTATGTGTTGTGGAAAGGCTGGGGCTTGTGTGCGATGGGCGCGAGCACATGCGTTTGTCCTTCATGCGCTTGTCTGTCTCTCTGTACATGGGTGCGTGATGGGTGCATGAATGGTTGACGCAACGGGATGTGTGGAGTGGGTGCCTGCCTGCCTGCCTGCCTGTGTGTATCTGTTGTGTGTTGTTGCATTATTGGTGTTGTTGCATTATTGGTGCTGTATTGTGGATTTTCTATCTTGTGCTGTTTGTCTTACAATCCGTCTGTCCGTCCGCGGCTGCGGCTGCGGCTGTCGGTGGCTACAGCTTTGTGTTTGATGACGCGTGATATGTGAAGATGATTAACTGAGTACCATCATGAGTCAATGTATGGTACGTGTCGCTGTCCACCGCTAACCACTCTCTCTCTCTCTCTCTGCGTCCGGCCAGCTGGTGCGACAGTTTTCCAAGACCAAATGAAAGCAAGACCAAATGGGAAAACGTATGTCACATCACACCGCACACAAAACATCATAGACACCCTCATGACGATGATCAATAAGTACCACAAACATGCACCCACACAAACACAGACGCACACAGGCAGGCATTCACGCAGGCAAGGAGGGAGGGAGGCAGGCATCACAACCATAGGTAGAGCAAGTCAGCTCTTGTGTACTTACTGTCATGCGAGGCTCTCTTCTCGTTGCCCAGAGTGACGAGAGAGAGACGCACAACATGCACGCACCCTGACTGATGCGTCAAGACATGCACCAGACACCACAGGCAGTCCATCTGTCGAGAAGAGGGAGCCGAGCCAAGGCATGTGGATGCATGCACCTACATGCGATCGACACCGCACGATAATTCAGTCAATCATGCGATGACAAGGGGAGGAAAGAATAGGTCGGAACCAGCACAAAACAGGTTGGTATTACTTTGCCGGGGCACGCGCCGCACCGTCCCACAGTCACACGTCTCCTCCTTGCACCTGCCGCACCGCGCCACCAGAGGCTCTCCCCTGTATTCGACCGACTCACCACGGTTGGGTGTGGTGAACCTGTCCCAGTTCTTTGTGTGCTGCTCAATCATGGACTCCATCCAGACTGAGACGCGGATGCAGTCCTTGCTGGGGCCGAGGAATGGTGTGGGGAACCGGGGATTCTTTGAACTCCTCCAACATTGCCAGACAGCGATTGTTCTGCACGAAAACAGAACGGACACACTTTTGCTATCATGCATTCATTCTCTGTCCCTGCCAGCGTACCTGCGTATAGTAGCGCTCCCCGTATTTTCTGACGGTGATCTGAGGTATGTCGCTCAGACCGAGGTCGCCGGAGGTGAGCGCGTCTAGCGTCTCCTGTAGGCTCGTCCAATCCCTGAATGGCGTACTAATGGCGTCCTGGCTGTAGTAGATCTCTCCAATGCGCACCACACGCTCCACGCTGCATAACATGCGACGCACAGCAAAGACATTTGCATGCACATTCAAGCGAGTGAGTGGCTCAATTGCTTTTGTGTACACATGATAGCTCTTCTTCTTCGTAGGCAAACAGACAGTCGCCGCCATACGAGCACCATACCTGCACCAAGACAACCCACGCACGAGTGTCCGTAACTCTAGCCTTCCCATGCTTGCGCTTCTCACCATTTATCACGCTGTCACACATCTTGGTGAGGCGCAGGTCCTTCCGGCCATGAGCGAAGGTGCACTCAGCACCACGCGGGCAGCTCCCCAACTTGAGGAACTCGCACAAGCGTGTCTTGTCTTGTGTCCTGGAAGACACACACACACACATACAAAGAGAGAAAGTGGAGTATTGCAGGCGTCGCTCTTTGTGGTGCTTGTTACTTGAGGTATCGACTTCGACAAGTCCACATGCAAGTCCGTGCGCGTATCCGCAGTCAACGCCACGAAAGCAACAACCCTGAACGACCAAGCAACCTTGTGAAGGGGCGATGGCGAGATTGCATAACGTGGTCATTACCTGCTCGTAGTTCGTGCATAGCTTAGTCTTGTATGGCATCCGCGGCATCACCGAGTAAGACCGCATGAAACCCAAGGAGCGATAGTTTTCTATCACATAGGCCTACCAAATGACAATCAAGACCAAGTCTACCGACGGAAGCGATGCGCTGAAAGCAGCCAGGCACCACACGCGGAGCTGACGAGGCCCTTGGAATGGCACGGCCCCCTGGAAAGGTACCCCTCTCAAAAGAGAGGACCGTGTGCCATTCGAAAAGGCGAAAGAAGAGACCTGCAGACCGCACAACAGCCACACAGAGAGGGTTCAGACCTTCCATCTGGGCGCCAGCGTTTCAAGCTCTGGCGGCAGAGCCCTGGGCGTCTTTCGGGACTCGCGAGCTTTTAGCGAGCGAGGCACGCTCTTACCCGAAGTTCGTGTTCGTTCGTTTGTTCGTTCGTAATTGGGGCCATCGAGACTTTTTCATTCGGTACCGTCTTCCTTGATGGGGGCTTGCATGCGAGCTTGGGGGCTTTGCATGCATTTCGCGACGCGGCCGCCGGAACGCGGAGCGAGTCCCGACCCCCCGACGGAGGAGGGCAACTCATTTCTGTCCGTCCTCTCCCGTCTTTCTCTGCGAGCTGGAGAAGGGGCGGTTTCAGGATGCCCTAGGCCTTCCGCACGTCCTGGCGCATTTTTCGGAGGGTTCCCGACAGGTGCTTGCTGCCGTGTTGACTCACAGGTAGTGTGATGCGTCGCGCCCCATGGCCTCCTGCCTGACTCTCCCGTGTGTTTTGTGAGTCAGGGCCGTTCGATGAGGGGACCCACACGAGAGGAGCAGCAACGCCATGTCGGACAAACACAGGTACTGTGCAGCAATGGATCTCCTCCAGAGCCGTGATGAGCCACTGAACTTGCCGTCATGATGTGTTGTCTGTCAGGTTGGTCACGGTGATGAGTCACGCGAGCAGCAACAGGGAGGGCCCATCGGGCCTGCAAGTGAGTGGGCCACATGCGCCGAGATACACGCATTCCAAATGCCGGTTGCTCCGCTGTTCAGATGCTTCTGATTCGACCCAGCCTCTGGCGCTGGCAGAACACGTCAAAAAGTTGGTGGCCTCCGACCCGCTCAATCAGGGCCTCCTGGTGTGCTACGGCGACAGCAGTGGGACCGTGTCCATTGGTGTCGTGGGGGAAGGGATCGTCAAGCAGTTCCCTGTCCGAGGCGATGGCCAGGGACAAGTGGCGCAGGCGATCATGTTAGCGAGGCAGTACCGAGATGGCATCATTCCTTCGACTTCGGGTGATGATCACACGTGCTCTGCCCATGAAACACCCCATGGGAAACGCATTGTTCATTTCTGTACGCTTTGATTGTCAGTATGCAGCCCCAGCGACCCTCCATCGGACATACCACAGGACCGCACGGTCCTCTCCGGGTTGCCCTCAGATCCGAACGCAGGACCATCGCAGCCGACAGGTACACTCAATGTGACGACAGGAAGTGCCACCTCTGTGCACCCCTCTTGCCTTCTCGTTTCCAGAAGGATCATTCACTGCGGGACACGAAGGGAGTGGTGGTGTGCAGCAAAGTGTTCGAACGGTCAGGAGGGACGCTCCGATGCCCGAAGACTTGCAAGCAGGCGGGGAGACACCTCGTGAATACAGTTTCTCGCAAGTATGCAGGCTCTAGTGCCCTCGATGATCTGTATCCGATGAGATGTTTCTGTCTGCTGTTCCATTCAGCCGCCTTTTGACAGTCACTTTCAATTCTCAGTGCCCTCAGTCCTCGGTGCTGACCCTTCGACATCGCAGCCCCTCGGTCGGCCTTCCAACGCGCCTCCCTGTCAGCCGGACGCTGAACCACGGTCACAGCCGTCGCTCCACCTACAGATGATTGATTCAGCTGGGACATTCAGCCCCGCTACAATGCCGCCCTCTCCAGCATTCGGGCAGACGGGACAAGCAGAGGTGAGCAGCAACGTTCATGTTGTCTGTCCTGCGTGAATGTACCCTGATCCATGTCCACCCGTGTGTTTGCCGCACAGCACCCTTGGGACGCCTCTGCGCTCCCTCCTAACATGCCCCTCATGCGGTCGGCGCACGGATCATCACACCACCGGACAGCATCCGTCCCGCCATCGCTGTCCACAAGAAGACCCGCGACGGCACAGTTCTCACATGTAGGAGGCAACAGATCCAAACACACTGTGGAAGCAACACATTGTCTCCACCTTCTGTGTGTGTTTACGTGTAAGTAGGAGGTATCTGATAGAGCGTCTTATAGGGCACTGAAAGTGGCAATTGGCATGCGGCTAGGGCTGGTGGACGAATTCATCCGACGCAAGGAGAGTGGGGAGAACATCTCGAAACCTCAGTTTGCGAGAGAGAACGGCCTGGACCCCAAGCTGTTCAACAAGTGGTACTATTCGATCAAGACGCAGAGAGCGAAGAGCATAGAGGTAACGGACCTTAGCAACAAGCGCATCACACCACTCAAGTATCCCCAAATTGAGGACCCGATGAGAGAGTGGATGGCCAGCCAGGGGGATCCAGCAGCTGTCCCTCCCAGGGCCATCAAGCGTAAGGCGATGAAGATCGCCTTCCGCTTGGGCATCGATGATCGCTTCTCGGCGAGCGACAACTGGGTCACAGCCTTCAAGAAGAGATACATGAAAGCATTCAAGGAGCGATGCCAGCAGGTGGGTACACAGCAGGACAGTCAAAGGCGTTAAGACAGGTCATCCTGCATCGATTAATGGCGCTGTCTCTTCAGAATTCTCCTTGGCCATGTGAGGGGCCTGCTGCTGCCGCCGCCCCACCCGCCGCTGACAACACCGACGGAATGGCGGTAGGTGAAGGATAAGACAATAATCAGCGTGCTCAGTCGTGTTGCGAGTGTCCATGTATGCACATGCGGTGTGCAGTCGATGGATTGGGAGGAGCCGGAATACTTCAATGGTGCCATGCATCCGCCAGAGGTAGATCACTGAAAGGATGCCACCCACAGGGCGCCGGCCACCACAGATGCTTGTGGGTCCATGTGTAATGCAGACGTTTGATGAGCTTTTGAATGCGATACGTGAAGTCATCGACGGCCGAGCACGCGGGCAAGACCTCATCGCCCAACTGCAGATGCAGTCCCCCCAGGTGGGCCGATTGCAATCACACACACACACACACACACGGTTTGAGTACGTGACCGGTGTGGTGGATCACCAGGAGATTGGCCTGCTTGTCTGGCGGCTGGATGCTTTAAATGCCGATAATTTGCGAAGCGATGCCGTAAGTGTGTGTTCGGACGGTCTGGCCGACGGGTGCATACTCACGGTTGTTTGCCTCTCACAGGTGCGTCTCCTCGCTGCACGCATCAGCGAGCAGCTCCGCCTCCACGTGGCCCAGACAGATGAGCACTTCTTGATGTGACCATACAGAAGGGCCTCCATTGAGTGTGTGTGTGCAGGTCATATTGGGGAGCGGCATTGGGGCCGCAACACGCCTGAATTCACAGGCGAGGTACATTGTAGTAGTCAGATGGCCTCACATTCCCTCACGCATACGGCTTGCGTATGTGTCCAATTGGCAGCCATTGATGGCTGTTTCTTACCCTTCGCCGCCAATGCCCTTCCCAATGGACGGCTCCTCATCATTTATGGCTGGCTCAGCGGCGCCGCCCAGGCCGATGCATCCGCCCCACCCCCAACTCCAACCGATGGCCCTTACCTTGCAGCCGGCCATACAGCCCAACGCATCTTCCTCCGCCGCACAGCAGCCGACCGACGATGAAGCTGCACTTGCCGCATATGAATTCATCGGCCAGGACCGCAGCGAATCAGAAGGGCCGGCAGAAAGAAAACGGCCTATGCTGGTTGATAACCTGAGCGGACAGGTACACGGATCGGACAAGATGACAACATGACAGTAAACAAGACACGCGTGTGTATATTGACCATCGGCTGCAGGCCACTCCTAGTGCCGCAGACGACGATATACGCGCTGGTGTGGGCAGGGGGTCAGAACAGTCGCCTGGCCGTAACACCATGAGCGTAAGGGAAGACATCATGAGTGCAACCAAGCCTAGCAAAGATCAGCATCACACGTGCATTCTGTGTTCTCTCAGGTGGTCCATTCAGATGACAGGAGGACGGCACGCGGCGACAGACAACCTAAGATCCGAAAGAGAGACAAATCCCCCGAGTTCAAGGAAGCGCCGCCATCTGTGGTGAGCAGTCTATGGGGAACACTAGATTGCATTGCAGCCTTTCTGTCTTGATTGTATCGATGGTGTCTTTGTGTAGGTGTTGTCTCGTTACACTCCTGGGTCTCGTTTGTCGGTCAAGTCGGCGATCGGCGTCACTGTCGATGACCGCCTGAGTGACATACAAGAGGTGCGATAAAGACTTAACAGCTCGCTGCCAATTTTCGCAAGACGCCCCTTCTGTCTCGTGCGTCATCAGGATGGCGACACGTTTTCTGTCCTGAGAACTGAAGACGAGAGAAGCCCAAAAATGCAGGTCAGGACGAAAAGAATCCAGAAGAAGCGGTCATGATGAAGACATCGTCAGCACATCTTCTTGTGTTTTCGTTCCTTGTGATGGTGTTCGGCTGTGTTCGAATCGACACGCGTTCACTGAAGAGTCCTGAAGGGTCTCATATAGCAGGCCTGATTCTCGGGATCGCCTGCGTGTTGCTGATAAGCATGGGTGCTGGTCTTCCCGGCCTGATTCTGTTGCTTCCTTTTCTTCTCGTAAGCAGAAATACCATCTGGTTCTTGTAGTGGCAGAGCAATGCTCTGCTGTCGTTTCTTGTCTTTGTAGAACGACGATAGCAGCATGACAGGCGTCCAGAAGCCAGCACATGTACGTGATGCCCACCAGCACACAGTGATGGGCGTCTATTGGTATCATGTGTCCTTTTCAGCTACTTGTTGGCAGCAGTCTGAATGCGTCAGAGTGTGCGGCCCTCCACTCGCTGTTCGTGCCATCCGTGTTCGACGATTGCACATTCACACTGCTGTACAGGTGCACACGCACACATGCAACACACAGCACAGAGGGCACGCGAGGAGTCATCAACCGGTCGCTCTCGTGTGTTTTATACGTCAGGGCATGTTGCGATGGCGGCAGCTATGATGATTTGGTGCGCTGTGTGGGCGACGCGAGCTCTCTCGTGTTGGTCATTCGGAAAGACGAGTGTCTGTTCGGCGCCTACATGGGAGCAAGGCTGAAGCTGCCCGACATCTCAAATTCCCGCAAGGAGTACAAGTGTGATGTGTGGCATTACTCCCTTGCCGGCGACTCCGGCACGCCCATCAAGATCGACATCCCTCGGGACTGCCAGCGTGTGTATGTGGCTGGGCGGGAGGGCGCAGTGCATGGGGGAGCGAGGATGGGGATCGGTGGGGGTCTGTGGTTGGGCCATGGCGATCAAGACGTTGGCCCTGCAGATGATGTACGCACATGCATCCTCAGTGATTATGTGCCAGACGGTTTTTCGGGGGTGCGAGATGAGGCTGGCAATGGGAGTCCCCAGGAGGCGGGCAATAGCCGGCTGCCGATCCCGACACAGAGTTTCAAGCCGACATGTCTGCTTGGGCACATACTGCAGCGCTCACACAGAAGGGGCAGATGGAGATGCGGATGGAGATGCAACGCGCCACAATGTATGTGAGCTGACCGGCCACAACACACACTGACGGGAAGACGGCCAGCAGCCAACCATTGTGCGGTGCGGTGTGTGTGGTGTGTGCAGTTGGCGGGAGCTGTCTGAGTGCGGGCATCTTCGGCAGCGACAGCAACGTTGGCAGGTGAGGAAAGGAGGAGTGCAGCCGGGATGACTGGCGGAATACAAATACCAGCTGGCCGTCTTCCTGTACGTGCGTGTATGATAGGTACCGTTGCCGTAGATGTGACTTCGACCTGTGTGACAAATGCTACACCAGGAGGAAGGCCGTTCGACAAGTACGGACACACGCACACACATACACGACCGGGGGGTAACTGAGGTTCAGTGTGTGCTCTGTGTGTCGGGGGGAGTAAGACATTCGTGGCTGATGATTTGGAGGTCATTCGTGTCGACGGACTGTCACTACTGAGGCCAGAGGTCAGATACGACACGTCAATACGCCTGTGTTATTCCTTGTCCGTCGTGTGCTGTTTGTCTGCAGGTGATTGAGGGCAGCAGTTTGAACCCCTTCCAATGTGCGGCGATCCGTCGATTTCTTGGACCGACCAGACCATACGGACCGGAACTGCTCTACAAGTACGCGGCATGCGTGCATCATTGCCCGCATTTCGTTCCTTTGCAGGGCCTCGCGTGACGGTCGCTGCTTTGGCGATCTCCTTCGATGTGTGGGCGATGCGAGGGGCTTGGTGTTCGTCATCCGGAAGAGCCAATACATCTTCGGCGCCTGCATGGATGGCAGCATCAAGGCTCCCGACGACCCCACCGCTGTCAACGAGTACCAGTGTGATGTGTGGCAATTCTCCCTCGCCGGCCACTTCCATATACCGACCAAGATGGATACCCCACGAGACGACGGTCACCGTGTGGAAGTAGCTGGGGGAGAGGGGGCACTGTACTGTGACAGCTTCCTCCCGAGTCGCCTGAGGTATGGGCGTCCCCGTCCCCAGGCGAAGCTGACGATCGATGGGCGTCTGTGGTTGGGCTATCGCGATGAAGACAGTGGCCCTATTGATGATATGCGCAGCTGCCGTCACTTCCGCAGTAATGATGTACCTGACGGCTACCTGGATGTGAGGGACAAGACGTATGGCTATGCTATCCTCGGAGGTAGTATGGAGTTCATGGCGGATGAGCTGGAGGTCATTCATGTTGGTGGAGTGTCAACCATCTCGTCACAGGTCAGACAGTAGAAGAAGAGCTGATCACATGGAATCTCATTGTGCAGTATCTGTTTGTGTGTCTGTTTGCGCTCAGAGGGTCGACACGGCTGCCGTCCCGCAGCTCACGAGCGCGCACCCGGTTGCTGCGGCCCCCGATGAGTGTTCGTCTCTCAGTCATGCTGACGTCGATCAGCTGATTGAGTGGTTCGCTCAAGGGAGACAGTTCTCACTCATATACAGGTACACAGAGAGACAGACATCTGCGTGAGTCATCATGTATGATGTGTCTACATCTGCGTGTGTTTGTGTGTGTCTGCATATGTCTGTGTGAGTGTTTGTTGTAGGGCATCACGCGATGGCTGTCAGTATGGTGACATGCTGGACCGAGTGGGGGGCGTCCGGCCGATTGTGCTGGTCATCCGCAAAGACACATATGTGTTCGGCTGCTTCATCCCTGCCGGACTACGCGAGCCCAACTACCCGGACGTTGTCAGTCGATATGAATGCCACGTGGTGCCGTTTTCCCTAGCCGGCAACTTCGACGGACCGACCAAGATCGCCATAAAGCAAGACGGGCAGCATGTAGTTTTGGCTGGTCGGGAGACGGCAGTGGATGGGATGGCAAAGTTGTGGATCGGTGTCGGTGCCGGTGATTTTATGCGTGAGTATCGGCGTGAGGGTCTGTGTCTCGGCTATGGCGGCCGGGACAGCGGCCCTATAGATGATATGCGTAGCTGCCGTCAGCCAATGTGGAGACGTCAGCTGGGTTTCGATTATCTGTCTGACAATGAAGCTGGGTTTCGCGGGCTCATCCAGGATGTCAGGCTGGGTGGTAGTGTGAAATTCATGGCTGATGAGTTGGAGGTGCTGACCTTCACGTCGTGATAGTCAGCGCCGCCAAACCATCGGCCGTGAACTGCCGCCGCGACCCAACACAATGTAGCCACACATAGCTTATCGAGGTACAGATACATATATTGTGCTTTGCGCGGGGCATCTGCCAAGGAGATTAAGTGTGCTATGCTTTACGGTCATGTCTAATGTGCCGTTCCGTATGTCTTGTGTCACAGACGAACAGATACACAAATGAACACACTCCCATGCACAACACACGCAAATCTCTTTAAAAATCCGGCAGCAGTAACCTGTGAACACAGTCACAATTACTGCCACTGCAGCACTGCCTTCTCATGGTGTGATCTTGGCACTCAGCAGGAGTCATGTGTTCATCTTGACGTATGTTGACGCACTCCTTCTCCCTCTGTGTGCGGGGTGGTGTGCTCAGCTTGTCCGTCCGCTCCAAGTAGTCCATTCCGGAAGCCGTCAGCCGATACCCGACGCGGCCAGCGGGGGGCGGGGGCACAACACCGCCGACCCCTCGCCTACTGGGGGCCATGAGGAGGGGGGAGGCGTGGAAGCGGCGCGCGTTGGCGGGGTTGTTTTTGTGCTGTATCGTGTGGATGGGGACGAGGCCGCCGTGGCCTGTGTGCTGGGCGTGGAGACGATCTTCTCGATGAACTTGAGCGACCTGCACGCAGGCAGGCAGGCAGGCAGGCGGTATGTGTGTGTGTGTGTGTAAGGGGTGTGTGTGTGCGTGTGTGTGTAAGGGGGGCTGCTTGCTGACTTGAGGTCGTTGGGTATCCGTTGGGGCTCTCCCCTTGCTGCCTACAGCACGGATGGGCAACTGCTCGGCTTGGAGTGCATCGTCAACTCCTGCACACGCACACACAAGGGAGAACGCCAAACACAGTAAGACGCTCGCTCGCTGTGATGAGATATTGATGGTGTGTCACGGCTGATTCACCTTTGGGTACGGCGTGAACATGAGCTGGTCCTTGTGGTTGGCGATGGACAGGGACGCTTGGCTGTTGTGCGTGTCGACGTGCAGGGAAAAACTTGCCTCGGATCTGAAGGCATGTGCACGCTCAAACGCAGTCGTGTGCGCCGTAACCAACTTGCCACTCATCTGCGGGGCGGACAACAGACACATACATACACACGTGGAGTGCACATCGATCTGTCTGTTCTGGGGTGCAGGTGTTGCGTGCAGGTGCTCCGTACGTACCTCTGTGCACTGCAGAGCGATCCGCAGCGTGTCATGGATGCCCGCATCGCATTCCTCCACACGATACACACCGCTCAGCAGCTTCTTGCTGCCGGTGGCCTCACCGCCACTCGCCAGGCTTTGCTCGAAGCACAGCGTGAATGTCCCGTTGCCCACTCCCATGCCGTCGTCAGCCAGCGTCAGCTTGGTCGAGCAGGCGGCCGTCATGCCCTTGACGGTGCCCGTATGGCCAAGATTCACCACACTGTGGCCCTTGAAAGACACCGCGGCACCTGCGAAGGTCTTGGGCACATCGAGATCGGGCAGCACCCCCGAGTCAACGCCATTGGTGTCCCGCGCCTCCTCGGGGCAGTTGTTCTTGATCAGTCCCATCACCTTGATGCGCCTATACACACGATTCCTCGGCCTATACACACACACACACACACACGCGCGCGCGCGCAAATCAGCTAGCCGGCCGTGTGTCAACATGCCCAGGCGTGTGTGCCTGTGTAACCTGGATCGGAATCGGCGCGTGCGGCACTGCTGGCAGCTGGCGACGAGCGGGGTGTTGTATTGGAAGCCGAGGGGGGGACATCTCTCGAGTATCGCATCGCACTCGGAGGTGGTGAACGTCACGATGGAGAACATCGGGGACTCCTCCTGAACACAATGCACATGACAATTTAGGCCGGCACTGTGTGTGTGTCTGTGTGTGTACTTGTAGTTTCTTGAGCCATTCGTCGCACACGCCACACGGAAAGACTGGGTTGAGCTCGTCCTTCGGATCGACCACGGCGATGGCGCGGAAGTCGCTGCGGCGCACAGTGAGCATATTCGATATACACGTCGAGATGGCCGAACGCTCCGCGCAATTCGAGCCTGCTCGGACACCACACGCACCACACACCACACACCACACAGATCCAACATCATACAAAATGGCGGGCTGGCAGTCGTGTGTGTGAGTAGGCAGGCAGTCTCACCTGAGGGCAGAGATATCTCAGAGTTCATGCCCCTGTAGAACCTCAGGCGGCCCTTCTCGACCACCATGACGACGGCCAGCACTATCTTGCTCGACTTGCGGTGCCAGAACGAGTCCATCTGGCTCTCAAGCGACTTCCATTCGTTGACGTACCGACGCGCCTCGTCAACCAGCCTGATCATTGACAGACACACCGTCGTACGGACAACACACGTTCAGACATAGGGGGGGAAACTGTCATTACGTTCAGACATATAAAAGCCCACAGACGCACCCTCCCTGCCTTCACTCACTGACCGTTTCAGCGGTTCCCATCGGTGGACTTCGCTGCAGAGCCGCAGCCTCGTGTACTCGTGCGTCACGAGCCATCGATCGCTGCCCGCCAGCGGGCCGGACGGGAGTGATCTGTGTGACTGACTGTTCATCGCGATGCGCTGAAAGGACCGAAAGCAGCAAGGGAACAGACTGGAGCTGAGGGAAGGAAGTGAGATCCTCTACAAAGGTACAGGGCCAAATGACAATCAAGACCAAAAGGAAAAGCGTCCACCGACGGAAAGCGGTGCGCTGAAAGCAGCCAGGCACCGGACGCGGAAGGAAGTGACGCCCTCCGAATGGCACAGGGCCCCCTCCAAAGGTACCCCTCTCGAAAGAGAGTGAAACACAAAGCCTGATACCTTGTCTGTGGCCATCTTGCCTCTGTGGTCGTCCTGCGGCCACAGGGAGGCCAGCCACGGGACAGCAAGCGCAGGGCCATCAAAGATCTGGGGCATCTGGCCGTCCTGGCGAAGGGAGAGACCTGCAAGCAACACAACAGCCACACAGAGAGGGTTCAGACCTTCCATCTGCACCAGGATGTCAAGCGTGTCAGCGCGAGCTGAAGAAAGAGCGGTTTCACAAAGCCCTAGGCTGGTAATCCAAGCTCGCAAAGCTGAACTGCAGGACTGGAAAAACAGCGGCCGAATGCACGCTGGTGGGAAGCGTGGAGGGACAGAAAGTGGAGAAAAGAGAGATCTTACCATCTTTGCATCTTTTGATGCACCTTCGAGATCATCAGAGAGCGCACCGCACATCTGAGGCCTGAGCTGCACATTGTCGGCGGAGATATGGCGACGCTGTGCACGTCGGCTCTCCCGTGGTGCAGTTTTCAGCAGCCGCCCTTGCTTTATCACTCGACTCTGTCAGCGAGTCCGTCGTTCTCTCATTACCGTCATGCGGCAAAGCCGAGGGAACTCAGCAGCGGGATGAGGAGGCGCCTGGTCCTGTCTGCCGTGCGGCTACCTGAAAGACCGATCATCTTGCCACCAGACAGCAGCGGAGCGAGGCAGCCCAGTGAGGACAGAGAGAGTGACGAGGAGGGTGAGAGCCGGCAGCAGCGGGAGGCCGATGCAAGCGGCACCGCGCACCAAGCGGAGGAAACGGGAGGGACTGGCGATGCCGACGACGATGCTGCTGTTGCGGTAACAGCTGATTGGTCAGCTGGTCCTGCTGAGGATCAGATGTTGCAGTCGGCGACAGGGGTCAAAGAGAAGCCGGCCGATGCGACCGTCACGGTCAAGAGGTGCGCAAAGCACTCATGTGTGGTTGTGCGCCGTCAATCTGCCTGTCTGTGTGTATGTGTGTCTCAGGTTGATGAGTGAACTGTGGGATAAGGCAGAGCCGGGCCTGGTGATAGCGGCCCTCGTCCTCTCACTCTGCGTCAGCCTCTCCGCATTCGCCCGCGCACACGTCTACGGCCGAATCATGGACGTGGCCGCCGCAGCAATCACAACGTCATCGGGCCAAATGAGCCTCGCCCTCGGCCCCTTTGCCCCCCTGCGGACCTTGTTTCTGAAGCTGGCTGGGCTGCGTCTGTTTGAGTACAGCTCGAACGTGGCTGTGGGTGTTCTGTTTGCCTTAGCCAAGTGGCGCATGAGCGCACGGCTGAGGCTGGAGCTGTTTGGGAATTTAATTAGGCAGGAACAGGGGTACGTGAGTAGCCTAGCCCACAGACAGACGTCCCTGGAGAGACAATACCGATCGACTGACTGTTGCGGTTGCGCGTGGGTTATCTTATCGATCTGATGTCTTGTCAGTTTCTTCAAGACGCACTCTGTCGGGACGCTTAATTCGCGGCTTGTGAAGGTACGTAAGCAAACGAGAAGAGCGAGAGGGGGCGTCGCTCGTAAATGGGCTTGTGATCGATTTCCTTCTTGGCGCCTCTCTCTCAGGATCCCGATGAAATGCAAAAGATCTTCAGCGAAGGGCCTGAGAATGTACGAGACCGACACAGCCGATGGCAGCCATCGGCGGGTGCCCTCCCTCTCTCCATCGCATCGCCTGTGTGTGTGGATTGCCTCCATCCCATGCAGGTCCTTGCTGGTTTTCTCAACACGATCCTCGGCCTGTACTTCACCTTCAGAACAGACTGGCGGATGGCGTGTGTTGCCTTGCTGGAAATGCCCCTGTAAGTAAGACCGACAGCCAACATGGATGGCACGACGGACCGGACAATTAAGGCGTTGTGGTCTGTGTCTGTCTGCGTGTGTGTCAGGCTGGTAGTGCTGGTGCGGCGCGCGTCGAGGCAGGTTGGCCAGTATGGCCTGCAGCAGAACGATGCCATGGCCCACTGCTCGGCCGTCGCCAATGAGGCGCTCTCGACCATTCCCACGGTGCAGGCCAATGGCGGCGAAGCCACCGAGAAGAAGGTCAGGAAGCCAGCCAGCCACACGGGCGCAAGCCGGCAGATACCACACCACACACAGATATAGACGTACACGTGAGTCTCTGCGGTTGCGTGCCGTGCAGTTGTTTGGTCGTGCCATCGACGGTTTCCTGCGTGTCATCTACAAGACCCTCTACTGGGAGACCTTCCTGCGCTACGGCAGGAGGCTGCTCTACCACATCACAGACTACTCCATCTTCATCTTGGGTCAGCCAGCCATCGATGCGATCGATGAAACCCGCAGGCAGACGGCGAGCCAACATCCGGTCCATGCGTGTCGGTCGTCTCATGTGTCTGTCTACCTGTCTGTGGCTGGGCTGCAGGTATGTGGCTGACGGTGCATGGCCAGCTCACTATTGGGAGGTAAGCGCATGCGATGGATGCGCCTGACTGACCTGTGCAGTGCAATCGATATTGGCTGGCTGTTTCTATCTATGTTCAGGTACGTGGCTTTCCGCGGCTACTGCGCCAGATTCTCTGAAGGTAAGTCACTAACCACAGAGCAGGCTCACACAATTCGTGTGCGATTGATTCATTGCCTGCCGATTTGACCAGGCATCGAGAAGCTGGCCGACATGTACCAATCGATCGCCACCTCTCGCCGGGCCTCCCAGAGGTACTTCGAGCTCGTCGACAGAAAACCAAACATCGGCGATGCCCAGGACAGTGTTTCTGACGCGGTTGCAATGGCCGACAACTTCCGCCCCCACCTCACACAGCCGCCCCTCATCGAGTACTGCAACGTGTCATTCGCATACCCAGCGGAATCGGCCACACTTGCCAACGCCGGCAGAAGGACAAACGAGGTGAATGGCGCAGCCAAGGACACCGCCACAGGGCCGATCGACAGGGTGTCGTTCGAGCTGCCTCCTGGGTCCTTCACGGCACTTGTTGGCCCCTCTGGCGTGGGCAAGAGCACACTGGCCTCCTTCCTGCTGCGGTTCTACGAGCCGCAGAATGGCTCGATCATGGTGGACGGTGAGGAGCTGGGGGACCTGGACGTCCATTGGTGGCGGCAGCAGGTGGGCTATGTCGAGCAGGAGGCCGCCGTCTTCAATCGGTGAGTGAGACCACCACCCAGACAGAGAGACAGACAGACAGACAACCGCCCATCCCATTGATCTGTCTGTCTGTCTGCGAATGTCTGCAATGATGCATGTCATGGCATGGCCACCATGCACTGCACTGCACTGCAGCACTGTGCACGAGAACATCTGCTACGGCCTCTCATCGGCATCGACATCCGACTCGAGTGCCAACGTCCGCCGCGCCGCCAAGGCAGCCCACGCACACGAGTTCATCCAGAGACTCCCCTACCAATACGCCACCGTGTGCGGCGAGCGAGGCGGCCGCCTGAGTGGGGGGCAGAAGCAGCGGCTGGCCCTTGCAAGGGCCCTGTCGAGGGACCCCTGTCTGCTGGTGCTGGACGAGCCGACGGCCTCTCTTGACACGGAGAGCGAGCGGGCGGTGGCTGACGCGCTTGAGGAGCTGAGGCGGCGGAACAGCACAACAGTGCTGATGATCACACATCGGCTGGAGGTGAGCATGTGGGTGGTCTGGACGATTGTGTGTGTCGTTCGTTTATGTCTGTTATGTCTGTGTGTGGGTGCTGTGGTCAGACGGTCAAGAAGGCGGACAATGTGTTGTTCTTCGACAGGAACGGCGAGATGACGGCTGGGAGGCATGAAGACTTGATGCGAGACAAGCCTAGATACAGGCGGTTCGTGTCCAGTGAATGGCACACTCAGCTGCCGGACGAATGAATGGAGAGAGTGTTAGCAAGGGAGGGAGGGAGACGTGGCAGTTCATGACGGCGCGTCTTTTTCTGTGTGTGGGACAATCCCGTTTGTTTATCTGTCGGTAATCATGTTACACACACGTCGACAGACAGACACGTATGGTAGGTATGTGCATCATCACATGAGTCACTCAACAAATGAAGAGCCGGCCGGGGATGGACAACACACACACAGCAATGTCGATAGGTCGCTGTCCCCTTCCCCTCCCCCCACCCCCACCCACACACACACACAGCACATCTCATCTCATCTCATACATGACTAGCTAATTGCGGCCGGGCTTGTGCAGATGTGTCAGGGAAGAGGCGCTTTGCGATGGGGACGTCTGCACGGCACCCACACATCCATCCAGCCATCAGCACGGGCGCGGATAAAATGAGCGCTCCGACTGACGAGCCTACTCTCTCTCTCACCCGGCAAGTGAGCGTGCGGACGATATCCACCAAATCCATGGGCAGCCCACAAGCGCTCCTGAACACACACACACACACACGCCCGCGAAGATGACACACTCTCCTCTCTCTCCGTCCTTCCCCCCACCTGCATGCCGGCGCTGCCTCTTCACTCATATCCGACGTGTCAGCACGCTGCTCTATCCTCGCACCCTCACGCATTACCGTCCCGCCCCACGTGCCACGATGAGCAGACGAGGCAACCATTGCCGGCTGCTGCTGCTGCTGCTGCTGTTGGTGATGCTGACGGTGGGAGGGCGACACGCCGTATGGCAACGGTGTGCGGGTGGTTGACATGGAGAGGATGGGGGAGGAGAAGGCGGATGGCCCCTGATGCACACAACAGACAGACAGACAGACAGACAGGCATGAAGAAAGGAAGCCGTGCACATGGACAGACATTGCTTGCTGCCGCTGTTGCTTCCTTACCTTTTCTGGGCTACTCGATGCTGGTGGCGACGGTGCGGGGTCGACTGTGCCAGCGCCTCTTGGCCGGGGCTTTCCACACACACTGCCACCGAGCCCACACGACGGGGATGTGCTGCAACCAACCAACCGGCCAGATAGATGCACGTGTGCATGCATGAGCTATTGAGTGAGCCTCTCACGGGAATATATTTCATACCTTGTGTGCGGGGGAGACGGAGGAGACCACGAGAAGCAGGCCCCAGCCCTTTCTCCCCTCTCTGCCCGCTGTGCATGCGCCTTCTCCTCCACGGAGAAGGTCAGGTGGTCGTCCAGATACCCCCTGCTGGCACCACCAGCCGCCCGGCTGTCCTCGTCCACACCGCCACCGCCGCCACCCCTCTCGCCGTCACCACGCTTACGCGCCGGCCGACCGGCCGAAGCAGATGCGGTTTTCATCCTCTCCTCCCTCCCTGTTGCTGGTGGCCTTTTGTCGGTCTCAGATGGGTGTGCATGTCCGTGTGCGTGTGTGTGTGCGTCGGTGTGCCCAGCAGCTGGGACACGGGCAGGGGAACGGGGTGCGGGAGGCAACTTCTCGGCCTCATCAGCAGCGGTCATGCCGACTGGCGGCGGTGTGGGTGTGGTTGTGTAGGCCGCGTAGAGGGTGCCGTCATGGCCCGTGAAGCAGGGGGCCGCATACAGGGGGTGGCTGGAGGTGAGGAGGTCAAGATCATGGACGTAGATGCCGCTGCCGGTGCCGCTGCTGCTGCCGGGGTGGGGGGAGCGGTCGGCCGACAGGGACATGCGCACGGAGCTGACAGGTCAAAGGTCAAGCAGCAGAGGGGGGGAATATGTGTTAATCAGAGTCAGATAGAGATAGGGTGGTTGTGTTGTCTTGTTGTCGCATTGTCACTTCCTTACCCACTCACTCACTCACCTTTTGCTTTTTGAAGTGTCGGGTTGAAAGGTGCACTCTGGCTCGTACACGGTGAAGAGCTGCCGACACCTCCTCTGTTTCCTGACGCGCCGCTCCCGATGATCCCGGTAAAGCCGCTCGAATGTCGACCCAGAGTCGCCCTGCGTCCATCAATCCAGCCACAGATAGCAAATGCCGGTGATGCGGCCGGCATATCGATCATCCATCGTCTTAGTTACCTGGGGTCTCCTTGCCGAGTGTGTGACGGGGTGGAAGGGGTGCTTCTGCGACTCCTGGGCTGCCAGCATCTGATCGACCGACCGGCATGAATGACACACTCCGTTCCATTCCATTTCAGGGTGTGTGTGCATAGCGTACCCTGCTTCTCTCCTGCCTAAGCAGACGTGAACCGTACAGCCGATCACTGGCAGGCGCACCGGACAGGACAGGACCTGCAGGGCATGGATCACACACAACACAACACAGGAGCGACATCAGGTCAATCATACGTCTGTCTGTCTGTCTGTCTGCGTGGAGGGAAGGGGGGAGGGAGGGGTTGGTTGCTCCTACCTACCGCTTCTGAACGACACGCTCCGGCTCTCTGGCGCGGTCACGAGCTGAGGCCGGAATGGACACGTCTGCCCACCGCGGCCATGCATATATAGACGCAAGAAAGCATCACACATCGATATGCATATGCGCATTGCATCCTGGTGGCTGGCTGACCTGCTGAATGTAGGCGTCTTGGAGCATGAGCCCGAGCTCGTCATACACCTACACACATCCACACAGGGAGAAGCGCCCCCCATGCTGTCCATCTGTCTGTGTGCCCCTAAACCCTAAACCCTAAAGCCCCTAAACCCTAAAAACCCACCTTCCTTCTCTTTGTGTACTCCTTTGCTTCCCTCGCTAGCCGCTCAAACGCCCCATCCACCTCCTCCTTGCTCCTTGTCACACCACCCCTACCCGCCCTCTCCCCGACACCCCCGCCGTCCTTCGCCGCCGGCACCGGCACCGAGAAATAAGTCATCGGCGGACAGCTGGCGTCGAAGGGCTTGGGGTGCATCCCCCCATGGGGTCGGCTGCCGAAGCCTGCCGACGGTCCTTTGGGTGGGAAATGAGAGAGGTCGAGATAGTTTGGCGATGGGGGATCGCCCGGCTCCCTTGGGATGACTGGGTAGACGGGCGGGGAGGCGGGCGGCTTTGGCTTGGGGGAGGGTCTGCGTTTGGGTGGGCGGGATCCAGAGGGAGGGGTGGCGGAGGTCTTGCTGTCGAGGTAGCTGAATGCATCCCGCAGCAGCTCCGCGCCGAGCTCACGGGCTGAGGGTGCCACCTTCGCAGGTGGGTGTGGTGGCTCCTGGGTGGGCCGCTTCTGCTGGAGCACCTGCGTCAACAACTCGGCGGGAGTCAAATCCTCACCTGCGGATCGAATGAGAGAGAGGGGAACGGACTTGCGCATCAACCAACACGCCATGGATCCGCTCTTTTGATCTTCTGACCCTGCAGCGTGCCCTGCGATGGGTCCGCATGCCCCCGTCTTCTGCCCCGCCCATCAGCACCACCACCAATGGTCCCGGACGTCACTCCTCGTCCCCTCCCCTCCCCTCTGCCAGACCGCGGCAGCTCTTCGGGCGCCGTCTGTGCCATCGTCGGCATCGTCTGCGCGTCCCTGGTTGGCGGCCTGGGTGGGAACCTCGTTGGCGGCGTCAGCTGTCGGCCCAGCCCCACTTTGTGTATGGCGTCGTCAGTCACATCCGGGGGAAGGCCACGCGGATGGAGTGGCTCCACCATGCGCTCCACCGTCTCATCAGCAAACTCCTCCGCAGGAACAGTAGCAGTAGCAGTAGCAGGTGGTGCTGCGCGAGCCGGTGTGTCATGGACTCTGGTGGCCGCGTGTGGCGATGGCTGTCGCACAGGAGCCGGCTGGTGCACCGGCGCCGGCTGCACTCCAGCATTATGCTGCTGAGCAGGGGATGCTCGCGGGCTGACAGGAACACGTCGAGATGATCTGGGGGCATCCGCATGAATGGCTTCTGGTGGAGGCACACCAGAGCCGTCCGGAGCGGGCGCGAATGGGCAGCTGGAGATGTCCCGCAGAAGCTGGAGCTGTTGGGCTTGGTCATGCATTTGTTGGACGGCCCTGAACAGCTGCATGTCCTGCTGCTTCATCACCGCCAAGAAGCGTGTGGCCAGGGCTGGACAAACAATCCAGTCCACACACACACACACACACACGCGCGAAGGGAGGGCTCGTGTATACGCTGTCCGTATCAGCCGTGGCCCACCTTCGAGCGTGGCTCTCTCGAGCCTTGCCGCCAGCTTGCCGAAGGACCGGTTGGCTTGAGCGATGGCGGAGGAGTTGAGCAGACCGATAAGCAACAGAAAGTCCTCCTCACCCATGGGGAAGCTCTGCAAGCAGACGAGGGAAAAGGAGAATGCACAAACAACACAAGTCACAACAACATCTGTCTGTCAGCGATGGATCTGGCGTCATGTATCTGACGTACATACCTCCACGGCATTGTCCTTGCCGACCTCCAAATCCACCAGGAACTCCCTCTGCTGCGCCGGCGCCGCTCCCTCGGTGGCTTGCGTCGCCTTCCTGACTCCCTGCCGCATCTGCTCGAGACAGAGCACGCGATTTGCGAGGCATTTCGATGCCGTGTCGCCTTGAGGCTCATCCATCGGTCCTATTGCATCGGTCGGCGAGAAAAAAGTTTTGCGAGCTACTTAGATCACAGAGCCCCAGTGCAGTTTGAGAACTGTGTAGTACCATAGGTCTGAGAAACTCCGAGGGAAGATGGCCCCCTCTGTTGCCGCCTTGGTTCTCTTTGCGGCCTGCCTTCTCTCGTGCGGCACCATAGAGGTACAAGACTCAATAGGAAGTCAGTCAGGCGTCTCAGGTTGTGCCTGCCATCCGAGGTGCTTCCATTGCCACAGGTGCTGTGCCAGCCGGCACCCACTGAGGGACCGTTGCCTAGCGTGACCTTCACAAGAGGCGGCGTGGGGCGATCAAGCAAGAGGAAGGCACCTCCCCCACCGGTGGCCAGGCAGGCGCCGCAGCAGCTGCCCGTCGTTCCCGAGGCTGCATCAGCGCTGCCGCAGTCCGCTCGCAAGACCATGCCCGGTATACGTATGAATGATCCGCCTGCACACGGAGGGAGGGAGGGAGACACCGTGTGTGCATGCTGTGATTGGTTGACATTTCAAACCAGGGGTGGACACGATTGACTACACAGGGTACGACGTCAAGGTGCCCATCGACTACGAGAGCCTGCCGGGCACCGAGTGCGGCCGTACGCTAGACCCACCCGCATTCGTCAGCAGCTGCTTCCGAAGTGGTTGGGCCGGTAGGTACAACGCGGACACACGCATGCATCTCAGAATCTTGTAAGACTTTCTTTCTCTATCCCTCCATCAAAAAAGAACAAGGAGTTCTCTCCCGGCGCCACTTGCATGGAGGGGTGCTCCTGTGGCTTCGTCAATGGCAATCCCGGCTGCTGGCCCAACAAGTACTTCAAGAACGCGTGAAGAGCACACAGAGAGCAAACAAAACAGAGAGAGCAAGTTTGATGGACGAATGGATGAATGGATGGAATGATGAATGGATGGATGAATGGCAAACACTCGCAGAGACTCACTCAGTTGGTTGTCGATTGAAGGACCAACACCGAACGTCACAGCGACCGACCATGACATGACGAGTCAGTCAGTTCCCACACGATATGTGCGATGGATGCGATGCAGGCCGGGCATAGCCAACGACACCCACACACAATCTGATACATTTTTGAATGCACACATTGAATTCCTCCACACTAGCTAGTACTAGCTAGACGCAGGCAATACGTACGTAGGAAAGGCGAGAGAGACAAAGCACACCACACCCCGCCCCACCACAGGTCACCCTCCCGCCCCTGTCGATGAGATGCATGGCTCGGCTAGAGTTCTAGGTTGCGTGCCCTCTCCCTCTCAATGGCCCGCTCGTCGCTCTCCGTCAGGAAGAGGCTGAAGAACGACCACCCACTGCTCTTTGGAGGCGCCGCACCCGCACCCGCCCTCGGTGATCCACCCAGTGGCGTCAACGGGACCGTCTCGACAGTATCGTCCCCCTCTGATGGGGGTGGCGACGGCACGCCCCTGGCTCCTGGATCGCTGGATGACGACTGCGCTGTGTATGGCATGTGCCTTGGGGGCGTGGCGAGGTGGGTGGGGAGGGCGTCGGTGCTGATGACAGGGTACCGCTCGGGCAGCGGCTGAGATGAGCTGGCGCTGGTAGCACCAGGGGCAGCACCCAACTGAATGAACCAACCAACCAAGGAAGGAGACGCAGGATTTGTTGCGCGGGGGTTCCATGGGGGTGGGGTGTCGTGTACCCGTCCGTGTGTGGCTGGCTGCATCCGTACGTACCATTTGTTTCAAAGTGTTGTTCTCCTGCCGCAGTCCTTGGTTCTCGGCCGAAACGCTGTCCAGCGCCTCCTGGAGGGCCTTGGCTATCTGCAGACAGATCACAGGCAGGCAACATACAGAGAGATGCATGCGAAATAAAAACTGCCGGCTGCCGGCAGCGAGAGGGAGGGAGGGACACTCGTTTCTTTGCTGCATCTGATACTGACCTGTGCTTTTTCTTCGTTAGCGTATTTGAGCCGTTCTTGCAACACACGGACGTCATCTGCACACGCACACACACGCACACACACACAAAAGTGACACGACGATTCCCGCCAGTGGTAGTTGTTTCCTTACGAGAAATGGGTGCCGCTCGTGGGCTTCCGTCGGTCATGAGCTCCTGCGGCGGCCCATAGTGGGGCAGCTCTGTGACGGGCGGGAGGGAAGGGTGTCGCGTGCCGGACTGGGGAGGTGGCGGGAGGGGCGGGTGGAAGGCTGCGTCTTGCAGCTGCTTCTGGAAGTACGCCAGCTCCTTCTTCATCTCTACCATCTGCGTGTCCTTCTCCGACACAGCCGCCTGCAGCTCAACGATGGCCGCTTCGCGCTCTCGAGACCTGCAGGCAGGCATGCACACACACGGATAATTGTGGTCGGTCGATCAACGGACATCAGAGGTGCTGTGTGTGTGCGTGTGCGCTTCTCTCACTTGTCGAGCTCCTCCTTGAGGGTGGCGCATTCGGTTTGGAGGACGTCGACTTTTTGTGCGGCCTCGTCCGCCGCCTCCTTGTGAATGTCCACCTCACGCAGCAGCCGACCGTTCTCCTCCTGCACACGCAGGCAGAACATGACATGGCGATCCACCCAAGCATCTGTGGTCCTCTCTCCCTCCCTCCGTCACTCTCTGACCACGAGGGCTGCGTGCATTTTGTCAACGTCTTCGACTCCCGTGGCCATGTTCTCGTGGCTGGTGGCGAGGTCGTGTTGCGTCCTCTCTAGGTCCAGCCGGATGCGGTTGTTCTCCTCCTGCAGCCGAGTGCAGTTGGTGATGGACTCGGACAACTCTTTCTGCACACAGACACAGACAAAGACAACAGAGAGAGAGAAATCGTTAAGCTGGAGCCATTCATTCCTGTGTCCAGCTTCCATCAATCAGCCCCCACCCCACACACCTACCTGGAGTTGGTTGAGTCGCCCCTGCGTCTCCTCTCTGTGCATGGCCTCGTCGTCCCTCAGTTTCTGCAGCTCGTTGGTGAGGGCCGTGATGCGCTGGTCCTTGGCCTGCAGGTCGTCGCTGAAACGGCCCTCGTCAAACGCTCGGGACTCGAGGTAGTCCTGACAAACGCACACACACACACACACACATGGATGGATGGATGGATGAGTCCGTCTGTCTGTCTGCCTGGGTGTCTGTCTATCTGTCTGTCGTTGCGTACGAGTCGCTCCTTCTGGGCCCGGTTCTCTGCCTCGAGCCGCTCAAACTCCTGACATGACAAAGGCAGACAGACCCACAAACACATACATTCATCCACTACCGCTCCACCGCCGAGAGAGGTTGTCAGTCAGTCAGTCCGTCACATGCATACATACCACAACGCGCGAGAGGTTGTCAGCGATCTGCCGGCGCATGTCCTCGTCCACATTCTTGAGTATCTCTATCTCGCCCTCCTTGGTGTGCAGCTCCTCCCGCAGCTGCCGCACCGTCGCGTCCACGCCGTCCAGCTGCGACGCCTTGGCGTGCAGCTCGTCGTAGTGCTGCCGCACCATCTCCAGCTGCGCGCGCAGGTCGCCGTTCTCCCGGTGCTCACTCTCCAGACTCTGCACATGACATGACAACGTGGTGGTGCAAACACACACTCAAGATGAGGTGGGGAAGGGTGGGGTTTGGCGGGAGGGAGCACCTGTATGCGGTTGTGGAGGTCCTGTCTGAGGGAGGCCTCCCTGTCTCGTGCGGCCTCTAGCTCAGAGCCGAGGGTGGCGAGCTGCTGCTCCTTGGCCACGATGTCCTGCCGCATTGCCTCGATAAGCTCCTGAAACATACACACAGAGAGAGAGAAAGGAAAAAGACAGACACACACTGATCTGCTTGACGAAGGGTGGTGTTGTGGATCGGATCACTCACCAGCTGCTCACGCTGCCCTTGTGTCTGCGCCTGCTCTGCCAGCTGCTGGGCATCCTGCACAATAGAGCCACACACAGCAGGACAATTGAGGAATCGGCACACACACACACACACAGAGTCACACAAGTAGCACAAGACTGCATGCAGCGGCTAGGCTCAGGTTATTGCAAAGAGGTCAACAATGATAGATTCAGCAGAGTTAAAAGGTTTTGGGATAGAAATCCTTCATCAGAGCCTCCCCCCCTCTCTCCCTGCCGCCCTCACTGCTGAACTGCCCACTCCGACTAGCCACCCCTCTCACCTTCGAAGCAGCAGTGACCTCCAGATAATGCGAAAGCACCTGACCGACACCAAAGCACACACACACAGAGAGAACAATGACTCGCCATATAGGGTCTTCCGCGCTTCACGCCCCACCCCGCCCCGCCCACCTTCTTGAGCTCTGCAATAAGGTGCTCGTCCGTCAGCCCCTCGGTGGCCTGCGGCGCGCCGCCGGCCACTGGTGGCTGCTCCAGCCCTGGCGGTGGGGGCGATGGGGTGGGGTCGAAGCCGATGTCCCAGCCGCTGTCGCCGCCGTCGAAGCCATGGCTGTCCGCATCGCCGCCGCCACCGAACAGTTCGGCGACGTCACGGCGTGACGCAGATGACGGCGCGCTGCTGGATGATGGAGCGGGTGGCGTGTCGAATGAGGGAGCCGTCTCGGTGGTCTTGGTCTTGGTCGACGCGGGGGACGGTTGGGTGGCGGCGTGGCCGGACGGGAGGATGGAGAGGCCCGTCCCGTTGATGAACTCTGTCACGGCAGCTGATCGATCCATCGAGCGGACACACGGACACGCAAGCACCACAGATTTGAAGACGGACCAACCAACCAGGGGATGGATGGTATGTGGGTGCCCATGCACCTCACCCACCAGTGAGGTTGGCGAGTCGCCGTTTGATTGCCTCCCTGTCGTCCTTGACGGCTGGCAGCTCGCTGTCGGCCAACTCACGGTAGTACTGCGCTAAGGACATCTGTGCGTTGAGGGCTTCGGACAGCTCGTCGTTGGCGGCCTGCATCCGCTTCTCGGTCTCCTGGAGCAGAGCGGTGGCCTCGCCCTCACGGAGCTGCATGGCCGTGTGGGCTTCCTCCAACTGCACACACACACCAGACACATCAGAAACATCAGGCACAGAGAGAGAGGGGTAGATAAACACAATGACACAGATATATCAGGGGGAGATGGATCCGTGCAGCAAGCATGGCCGCCTGTCCTGTCTGTCTGTCTGTCTGTCTGGGTGTGATGTGACCCTCATGAACATCCGACAGGGGCGTGTGCCTCGCAAAGCATCCAGCCCCGCTCGGGAAGACAGGGGCCCGCTCAACTCAACGTCTGTCTGCGCCTCGGGCCATTTGATCCCTGAGGGTTGGCTGCCTCGAGAAATTGGTAAAGAGGCGCTAGCTACCTATCTACCAGCTCAGCTACCTCACTCTCCTCTCTCACCTCACCGCCTGCCTAGGAAGGCCCGCCCCGCTCCACCCTCCCTCCCCACGCACCAACCTGCTTCTGTTTGGCCTCGGTGAGCTCGCGAGACGCTGCCAGTTCCTGGTGGAGGGCGGTGAGCTGGTCCTCAAAGGACCGTGTGCGGCTGTCGATGTCGCCCTGCATGGTCTCACGCCACTGCTGCTCCTTGTCTTCTACCGCCCGCTGCAATGACCGCACCTCGGCTGCGTGGCTCTCCACGGCCGCCTCCCATTCGCCCTTCTGGCGGTCGTGCTCCTGGCGGTAGGCGTCAATCTGGGCCTGGTACTGGACGATCTCCACCTTCTGCTGCTCGCAGAGGCTCTCGAGACGCTGCATCTCGGCCTTGTTTGTCTGCAGCTGGCGCTGCAACTCGTCCTCTTTCCGCTGGAATGACTCGAAGGAGGCATCGTGTGTGCGCTGCGTCTCCTGGATCTGGTGCATCTCCTGCAGTAACTGGCACTCGCGGGCCTTGGTCTGCTCGATGGTCGACTCGTACGCCTGCAGACTGCTGCGGAGCTGCTGCTGCTCCTGACGCGCTGTGTCGAGCTGCTGGGTGACGGCCGTCAGCTGCTCCTCACGCTCACGAGAAACCGATTGCCAGTGGGCAATTGTCTGCAGACAGAGAGAAAGGAGGGGGCAGATGAGATGAGCAAGCGACGCGACGCACAGGCAGGCAGGGAGTGTCGGTATGTGTGTTGTATGTATGGCGTGGTGGGTGGACCTCATTTCTCTGGACGAGTTGGTTCTTGAACAACTCAGTCAGCTCTTGGATCTTCTCCGTGGCCTCGGTGCGGATCTTGTCACGCTCGGTTTCGACCGTTGCGTCAGTCTCGGCCTTGAGCTGATTGTACTCCCTCTGTGCACACACACACACACACACACAGAGAAGAGAGTCACGAACGTCCTTGACTGTGTGTGTGTGTGTGTGTGTGGTCTATCTATCTCTGACCATGACGGTGTTGTGTTTTTCCGCGAGGTCGTCGAGCATGGTCTGGCCGCGCTGCAGCTCTGCGTTGGCCTTGGCCATCATCTCCTCGCCGTTCTTCTCCAGCTTGGCGCAGCACTCCTTCCACCCCGCTATCGCCGTCACGTACTCGTCCACCGTTTTCTGAAGCGCGTCATTGTTCACCTGAGTATATAATGAGTGAGAAGACAACACACGCATGGGTATTGCCTTGTCGCCCACACAGGGGTGTGAGCGTGTGTGTGTGTGTGTGTGTGTGTGTGTGAGCTACCTTTTGCTGCATGAGTGCCTTCTTGACGTCGTGCTTCTCCCACACCATCTTGGTGATCCGCTGGTTGAGCTCAGAAATGGTTAGATTGCGCTGAGGGAGAAAGGCAGTGGATCACCGTCGCTTCTCTTTCTCCCTCCCTGTCTGTCTGCTCACCTCACAGACGTCCTTCATGAGCGCCTTGTTCTTGTCCAGCATCTTGATCTCTTCACTGAACACACACACACACAGACACACAGACACACAGACACACACCCATCTGCATTGCATCAGCCCCGTCTTCGTTCGTCGGTGGCCCGCCAGCTCTGTGCGTGCGTACCTCCATGCCTTCCAGTACATGGTGGTAATGCGCCATTTGAGTTTGCGGATGGCGTTGATGGCCCGCGCGAAGCCCTTGCCGTACCTCACCTCTTTGATCGCCATGTCCACCTGGAGATCACGGATCTCCTTGTCCTTCTCGCGGATCCACTCGTTGTCAGTCCCCGCACTCCGCTCCATCACCCCATAACCCAGACGCCAGTTGCGCTGCGCCTGTGTGTGGCGCACACAGCAAAAGTGACGACAAGAAACGTCGTTGTGTGTGCGTGCGTGTATGTTATGTGCGGTTGGCTCTCACTCACCTCAGTCTCGATTTGGTACCCCATTCGGTATTTCTGCAGAATGCCCTGCCTCTCCATCTCGAGCGCCGCCCTCACCCGCTCCTCCTTCTGCAGCCGACCCGTCAGATCGTCGACCTCCTCCTGCTGGGCCGCAGACCTCCCGCGCAACGCCTCAATCGCCGCATCCCTCTCGGCCTGCTCGCTCCGCAGTGCCGCCAGCTCTTCATCCTTGTCCTGGGCCGCCTGGGCCTCCCGCAGTGTCTGCATCTCCTGCTCTTTTCGTGCCGCTTCCTCGCCCGCCTGGATCAGGCGTGTGTTGTCTTGCTCGAGCTGAGTGATCTTGAGGAGGGCCTCCTGCAGCTGCAAGTCCTGCTCGGCGCCTGCGGCGTCGAGCCGGGACTGCAGGTCCTCATTGGCGTCGGCCAGCCGGATGGTTTCGTCCCTGGCACGTTGGCTCTCGACAAGGAGGGCCTGGTACTCGGCCTTGACTCGCTCCAACTCTTTCTCTAGCTGCACCTGTGACGACGGCAAAGAGACGGAGGAGTGACGTGACAAAGACTGCCGGTGGGCGGTGATGTTTCCATCAGTGTGTCTGTTAGTTACCTCTCGGCTGGCGCGTGGCGGCGGCAGCTCGTCAGAGGGAGGACCAGGCTCTGCACACGCACAACACACAGGCGGGCGAGTCAGTCGGCTGGCCACTGTTTGTTTGTAATGCTTCCTCCCCCCTGCTACCCCTCTCTCCCCTCCCCTCCCTACCGCCGTGTTTGGCCAGGTCGCCGCTGTGTGAATGTGCGGGTGGCACGATGTCATCCATCGACCGCAGCCAGGGTGGCGTCTGGAGGGTGTCATCGCCCCCGGCAGGCGTCTCGGCCTCATCGCCGATGTTGAACATCTGGGGGTGGGGCTCACTCTCCAACGGACGCGACTGTGGTGCGACACAGGCAGACAGATACAACAGGGTTACTTACATGTTCCATGGAAGGGTATGTGTGTCGTTACTCCCCGTCCTCTCTCTCGCCCGCTCACCATGTCTGGTATTGCCTTCCTTGATGGAGAGGATGGTGCCTGCGACGGGGCCTTCTCCGACACACGCTCCTCGTCTGTGGCAATGCCAATCCCGTAAGGCCCCTCCTCGCCAGCTGACGCTGCCGGAGCAGCTGCCGCTTCGCCTATCGGCTCTGACGCTGGGCTGGACGCACCAAAGCTCGACGGCGACCGGCCAGAAAGCTGCCCTGCCTCCCCAGCAGGACCAGATATCGTCACCTTCAGAGCCACTGCATCGTCACGAGGTGTTGTGATAGACGGCTGCTCCTGCGGTAGCTGAGGCTGGCCGAACCGACCGTCCTGTTCGTGCCCTGTTGGGGGCCTGCCGCCCTCCGGCTCGTCACCAGGCTCACCCTCAGGCAGCATCGAGGGGCTGGCACCGACCGCCATTCGCTGCTCCGACTCGCCAGATGGGAGCATGACCTCGGGCGAGCCCAGGTCCAGATCGATGTCCCATCCCTGGTCGCCACCCTCGTCGGCCATGTCTGCTTCCGGCTCCCCTCCTTCCATGTCGAGATCCACTGACGCGGCCTGCTGAGGCGGCGGCTGCTGCTGCTGCTGCTCCTGGGGCGCGGCCGCGGCCCCCCGGCTGTCGGCGCGGCGTTCCGGCGATGACGAGGGCGACTCGGCCTCTGCCTCGCCGGTGTAGCCCTTCTGTGCTTCAGTGGGTGTCTCCTCGGCCGTCTCGGGCGCCCGATGGTGGCGCAGCTGCTGAGTTGGTGACTGGGTGGCGGCGGGAGGGCTGGCCTTAGAGACGGGGGAGATCTCGTCGGGGCTGGCGGCCTTGCTCTCGTCGTGCAGCCTCATCATCAGACCGCGGTGGGATGGCGACCCAGCGATGACGAGCATGCCACTCGAGGTGTCCCTCTGGCCACGCCGCGGCGGCGATGGCATCGGCAGGTGCACGTGGCTGCCCTCGCCACGCTGGCGCGTCCGGACTAGGCCGCCCGTGGCCTCGGCCTCATTGTGGTGGTCATCCGACCCCTCGGCCTCTTCGTCGGCCCATTCGTGTGAGTCAAAGTCGGGGTCGTAGACGTACTTGACCTCCTCCTCGTCCAGACCCGGCACTGACACGGAGGATGGCTCGTCGGCTTCCCTGACGGTGGGGAATGCCGGCGGGACGACTGGTGGCTGCGTGACGGGCGGCTCCTTCTGGTGGATTGGCGACACCGTCTTGGGTGTGGTCTTGCTGCCCACCTCCTCCCACTCGCTCGACACCCCAGACCGCTCCGAGCGGTCGTGGTCGGGCTGGCTGCTCAGCACCACCAGATCCGAGTGGTCCGGCGAAGAACCGTCCTCCGCCTTGCCCTCCTCCTTGGCCGCCTTGTCCTTCCCACCCCCACTACCAGCGACACCACCGGCAGCAGAGGGCACACTTGACCCACCCAGCTTCTTCCAGCCTTCCTCAGACGAGCCCTCGTTCTCAACATCTGTGTACCCGACACCACCAGGCGACTCCCCCGGCGATGCCTTGACTGACGCAGGGGACGTGAAGGCATTGGTAGGCGGCTGGGACGTGGCGCTCACGGCCGACGGCAGTGGCGAGGCTGGTGGGATGGGCCGGGCCTCTCCCTCGCTCGCCGGGCGTCCGAAGGGGCTCGTCGGGGCAGCCTGTGGCTTGAGCGGGGTGCTGCTGACGCCGAAAGGATTGGCGAGGCCCGTGGGGGGCGGGGGAATGGGCCTGTCCCTCGTTGACGGATACTTCTTTGGCGGGCCTGCGCCCCAGGCCTTGAGGGCTATGGGGGTGCTGGGCTTGATCGGAGGGCCCACCTTGGGCGATAGGTCGGGCACCTCCTCGCCGCCTTCCGTGAGGGGCCTCGCCGGTGCCGCGTCGTTGGTGAGGCCCGCAGAGTCCTGTGGGGGTGAGTCTGTTGCTGCTTCGAGGATGGGCGGGGGGTTGTACACACCCGGTGTCACCATTGGAAACATGCCCTGACATGTCAGTCAAACAGAGAGAGGAAGCGGAGAGACAGCGTAAGCAAGATGGCCGTTGGTTGATCCATTCTTGGATGTATGGTGGCTGGGCTGCTCCTCACCGGCATGGGTGGTGTTTGACCGCCTCTTGGTGGTCCTGTGCCAGCGCCCGTTGGCGGCTTCGTCGGCAGACCGGGAGTAGCCGCGTAATAGGGGGCGCGGCTGGCAGATACACACATGGGAGGGATGCACAGATGAATGAGGCGTCAATGATTCCGGTTTGCCTTTGTATCGCTCTGTTCTCACCCTCTGCCGTAAGGCAGTCTGTGTTGCGGCACCGCCATAAGAGCTTCCACCCCAGTCTTGGCCACCTCGGCAGGCTTGCTCGCGGCCTCCTTGCTGCCCTCGCCCTCCTTGCTTTCCTCTCCTTCAGCTGAACCACACAGCACAGAGAGAGAGAGAAAGGACAAAGCACATCACATACATGCATCGCCCAAATAAGGACGTACCCAGCCAGAGACGGTTTGGTTGGGGTGTGTGGTTAGTTACCTTTTTTCTTGGCCTTGGGTGGCGGTGCCCTTTCGGCGGCATACTTTGCGAGTATCTCCTCTTCCTTGCCCCGCTCCATCCACATCTTGTGCTCCTTGCAGTAGTAGAATCCTTCACCATCGTGGGCGCCCAGGTTGACGACCGCGTAAGTGCGCTCCTCCCCGCTGCCCACCAACTGCCGCATCCACTGAAAAACCCCCTTGGTCTCGCTCTCCTTGCCGCCCTCCTTCTTGCCCTGGTCGTCAGACCCACTCCCGCTCTTGCTGGCCTCTGATTTGTCAGCCGGCATGCTTCGTGTGCGCGGTGGCGACTGAGTCTGGGACCGAGAGCGCCCCGAGCCGCCCAGGAAGCCTCCCAGTGAGCCAAAAAGGCCCTTATTCTCCCCGGGAGACATTGGTTGTGAGGGCGGTTGGGAGGCGACTGGCTTTGGCGGTTTGCTTCTCGCCCGAGATGCAGATGAGCTCCGCATGGTGCTCGTGTCTTCCTCTGTTGGTCGTTAGAGGAAAGGAAGAGCCTGTTTTGAATCCGGGACGTGTGCGAACCTAACGATCCACGAGACACGCGGACGGCAGAGAAAACAACAACAGCCTGTGAAGATGGAAGGAGGAGAACGCACGACGCTGACTCAGTCCTTAAATCGGTTTCGAACACTGCTTTTTTCTTTCTTTCTCCCCGACTACCCCTGGCACGAGGCGTAGAGGGCTTCCTGAGGCGCGTGGGTAGCTGTATCGTTGCCTGAGAGAAGTGGAGAGGCGGTTGAAAGACGTGGCCACCCATGGGGAACCATGTTGGAGTTGACATGGGTGAGCCAAGGCAGATTAGACAGCAGAGAAGTATCTCTGTTCATTCTGTTTGCTTTGTGTTTGCATTGCAGGTGGGTACATCGCCAGCGTCGCCTTCTGCATCCCTATCGACGAGGTCGAGGTCGACGACGAAGAGGACATCGGCAGCGGCCCGACGTCACCCTCACACACCAGTTGTCCCAGCCCCATCAGCGGCCATGCACACACAGACACAGACGACGACAAACCGCGCCGGCCGCGCATCCCCCTCTCTGCAAAGGACGCCCTGCGCGAGATTCATCGAGAGATCCGTTTCTTTGACTTCCGCTACGACGAGCTGCAGGAGTTCCTCAAGTCGCCCGCCGGGCAGTATTTCCGCTCCCAGCTGGTGGACGGCGCCAGTGCGTCGTGCACGGGGGCGGGGGCGTTGCGGGCGGACCTTCAGGAGTGCATCCGAAAGGACTTCGGGGCGGTGCCTGAGGTCCACAGGGAGGTGCGGTGCATCCTGCAGGGCATCGAGCACGTGCTGGCCGTGATGGGCAAGGACGCATGTTTCCGCTTCATCAAGACCTCCCGGCCCATCAATGTGGCCAAGAAGAGCTGCTCGTTGGAGGAGGAGCTCCTCTCCACCGTTGGCGAGGGGGATGATGACGTGTCGCCGTCTGCCTCTGCGTTCCGGTCCATCAACTCCGACCTGCTGCCGAGTGTTGGTGCCGACGCTGATACTGACGCTGGTGGTGGCGCAGAGGCCGGCAGTGGGTGTGTGTCGGTGGATGATGGTGCGGGTGACGAGATCGTGGATACGCTGGGGTGTTTGGCGGGGAGGAACCATCGCGGTAGCATTGGTGGCGCCAGCAGCTCCTCGTCGCATCGTCGCGTGAGCGACCATGCCGATGCGTGTGACTACGAGAGTGTGGGGGTCACTCAGGAGGAGCTGGACAACTTCTACCCCTTCCTGCTCGTCAACGTCAAGGCCGGTGTGGCCTTTCACTATGTAAGCAAAGCCGGAGACAGACACGCAGCCATTCAGTCAGTGCACCTACTTGCTTACGAACTGGTGGGTACGCCACGCGTCTCGTCTGTGTTGTCTGACAGGTTGAGTCGGCGTATCGCAGCGTGCGGGTGGTGAGCGCTCAAACAAGAGGGAGGGAGGGAGGGAGGGAGGCAGGGAGACAGACAGACGAACGGACTGGCCAGGCCATGCCATGAGATGCACTCACTGATTGATGTTTGCCTGACATGGCATGCATTCCGTTCGTTGTGAGGTGAGCAGGGTGGTTCGACGATCGGTGGCGGCACCTTCATGGGTCTGTCGCGGATGCTGTGCGAGTCTGCCCACCTGCCGGCCGATGCAGTCAAGATGGGGGTGCGGGGCGACAACAGCAAGGTCGACATGTTGGTCGGCGACATCTACGGCGGCGACTACCAGAGTGTGGGGCTCGCTGGCAACGTCATCGCATCCTCCTTCGGCAACTGCCAGAAGAATGTACCGGATGACGTCAATGAATACGTACGTATAAACGCGGGCTGAACACGCAACGAGGGCGGGGCGCATATATCACTGTGTGTCACACGTGTGTTGGCTGGCTGTGGTGTGTGTGGTGCCTGCCTGCAGGACATCTCCCGCTCTCTGCTGACGATGTTTGCCTTCAACATCACGCAGCTGGCGTACTTCAACGCCCTCATCCACGGCTGCTCCAAGCTGGTCTTCACGGGCTACTACCTCGAGCATCCAGAGTTCCTGGCCGCCATCCAGCATTCACTCTCTTTCTGGTAGGTATGCTACCCTACCTACCAGCACAACACATGCACCTCACTCACCTCATCAAAACACCACCACACAGACAACACCACACCCAAGGATGCATGGGATGTGTGTGTCACGACATACATGGACGATGGATGCTTCAAGGTCCAACGGCATGTGCTTTGCCTACTTTTTCCGGCACGCCAAGTACCTCGGCTGTATCGGCGCACTCAAGTAAGCGAGGCGAGCCGGACTGTGAGTGAATAAGGTGGCTCAGCTCAGCTCACCTGTCTGTTGTCTTGCCTGTATGGTGCACCAGGCGCAGTTTCCGGAGCAACAGCAACTACTGGAACGCCAACATCGACTCCATGGCCGACACATTCGCGGGGTGGGTGCGTATGTGTGTGTGCATGCGATCCCTTCCTTCCCGCCCTCAATGCATTGCACCCATGCCACCAACCAACGTATCAGCTTCTCTCTCTCTGTGTGTGTGTGTGTGTGTGTTGTGGTCGGTCAGGTCGAATTGGGTCGAGGAGGAGGATGTGGCACACCTCAAGGACTCACTTCACGAGTACACGCCCGTATTCTCCACTCTGCCCGAGTGCGACGCAGAGTCCGACACATCGGACGAAAAAGACACCGCGGTTGGCGGCAGACAGCAAACCGAGACCCAGCCACAGAGTGACGCGGCACCGATCTTTATCACGCCCGCGCGAGTGAGCGACGAGGGCGTCACTCGGCCCCCACACACCACCACCACCTTTGACACCAAGCGCATCGAGTCTGACCCCAACCTGAGCCTCCACTACAGCACACCATCCACACTATACGGCAGCAACGGCAGCGCCCGCCCGTCCAGCTCATCATCGCACATCACCCACACCAACACCCACCACGAGGCTGTCGAGCTGCCGCTGTCGTCTCGACATCGCCGTGGCCGTCGGAAGGCCATCGAGTGCCGCGAGCCCCTGACCCTGCCCCGCCTTACCCCCATCGACACGTCGTCTCAAGCCACCTCCCTGCTGCTGCCCCGCCGCCCCAATCCGGGTGGGGGTCTGGGGCTGAGGCGCAGCGCCAGTGCGAGCCGGCTGCGTGTGACGATCCCGCGGAGGACCCTGTCGCCGTCCGTAGGCCCCACCAGCCCCGCGAGCCAAGGCCAGCAGACGCCCGGCTCGCCACCCACGCCATCCGACCCCTCCGATTTCCCCTTACCCAGTGGACCGCAGGCGTACCTCTTGGGTGAGCAGCTTGAAGCCACGAGCCAAGCCACTGTGTGTGACGGACGGGTAAGTGAGTGTGTGCGGTCTTCCTTTGTCCGTGTGCAGCTGCCGTTGCGTGCGCGGCCCGTCGGAGCGGCAAGCACCTGGGCGGCAACGGCGGGCTGTCCTCTCTCCCTGCCACCCACCCGGCCTGGGGTCTGCTGAAGCTGACGCACCGTGAGGGCGGCGACGGCGAGACCCAGCTCGATCTCTCTCACTGCGACGGGTGCGATCGAGATGGGTGCGCCATCCGCAAGGCCACGGTGCGGCACCTGCAGCAGCAGCAGCAGGGAGAGGAGGGACAGGGGGCGGCGAGCAATTCATCCAGCCGCAGGGGCGACACTCCCCTGTCGTCTCGTGATGCGTGGCCAAGTAGCCCGAGACCCCATTGTGATGTGGGCTTCGAGCAATCCGGGCCGGGGGACGTCCTGCGGCCGCCTGAGTGAGGGAGGGTGGTTGCGAATTAATTTGTGGATGTGCACAATGAGTGGCGCATGTTCTTGATGCACAGGCACAGGTGGTTTTGTGTGTGTGTGTGTGTGTGTCTCGTGTGCGTCTTCCGTGGGGGAGATCAAATCAGTGAGTGCATTTCTGTCTGTCTGTCTGTCTGTCTGTGTGTCTGTCCGTGTGTGTGTCATTTTGATGCTCCGTGTCCCCTAACGCTGCTGCCATGTGCCAAATGCACAACTAGCGCTGCTGTGTGGCGGCCGGGCGGGAGGCAGGGAGCCGGGGACAGAGAGCCCCCGTGCTGGGCACACCAGTGGCGTAGGTGGGTGTGTGTCACCTTGTTTTGTGTCTGTGATGGCATACCTGTTTCGACACCGTCACGGTGCCGCACACTCAGACAGACAGACAGACGTGCTCTCTCTTTTTCGGTGTGTGCGAGAAGGACCCTTCAGGTTCTGAATGAATCCCCAGTTGGAGTTCGTTCGTTTGGCGTCACGGTTGGGGGTACAGCTGCACATCAGATGCATTCCAGATGCGCGCTCAAAAATTGAAGTTGAAGAAGTGGAACGTTTGTCGCAAGAATGAGTGTATCTGCCCCGCGCGAGGCATTCTCGGGCATTGCCGACGCATATATGTTAGCATCGCAGCATCTGGAGGCATAGCGACGTTGATTCGACCTGGTTTGGTTTGATCTGCATCTCTCTCTTATCCCATCTCATCCTCCCGCATAGATGGAGTTGGTGCCGAGGTTCAACGAGCAGACCACGGAGGGCCTCGTGAGGGTCGTCGAGGCACAACACAAGCCGGACAAGAATGTCACACTGTGAGCGTACAACTAACGACACGACATCAACTCTCTCCAGCCATCCTGCTGATCTGTGCTGTGCTGTGCTGCGTTGTGTGTGTGGCCACCGCGTCAGCCTGAAAGTGATTGCCCGGCAAGGCGAGACCCAGCCGCGGGCTATGGTCATTCCGGACAACGCGCTGGCCCACTTCGGCGAAGTCAACGTCGGCGACTATGTGCACTTCCAGCAATGCAGCCTCAAAGCCAGACCCAAGTAGGCAACGCACGGGAGAGAGGGAGGGAGGGAGTCAGTCATGCAACAAGTATTGTATTCGTTTGTTCATTCTGGGTTCCTTCATTGTGGGTTCGTTCACCAGTCCGGACGGCAGCCAAGGGCAGCCCTTAATCATCCTCGGCAGCTACACCGTCTACCCAGGCTCACCCGACGCCGACCCCATAGACTCGGCCGCAGCACCCCCGCCACCCCACCACCACCACCAGCAGCAGCAGGAGGAGGAGGAGGCCGCCGAGGACGTATCGGCGTCCCCTGTCGCACCTGCGCCCGTCCCCCTGCAGCATCGCAATCCGTTCGGCGGGCGGCCGCGGCCGGCGGCTGCGGCGGCCGCCAACCCGTACCAGCAGCAACAGCAGCAGCAGCAGCAGGGTGTGCGGGGCGGGAGGGGCGGGATGATGGGCGGTGGTGGGCCTGGTCGTCCGGGGGTGCTGGTTGGGCGACCAGGACGGCCACCGATGGCTGCTGGGGCGAGGGGGCGGGGAGGGGGGCCGCAGAGGGGTAGGTCGCGGGGTGGAGTGGATGAGATCGATGGGAGGGAGGGATGCTGGGCTGGTCTGGTGAATGATCGGATCGGTGTACGGATGTGTGTGTGTGTGTGTTTTCAGGGGGGTTTCAGGGCAACATGGGCGGCGGGCCGATCGCACGCTCGCAGGGCGCGTAAGCAACACACGCACACACACATGCACACACAAATTGCAGCCGGCAGTGTCGGACACTCATGCGTGTGTGTCTTCTCTGGTTGCGTACGTGACATGACAGGCAATACGTTAGCATCAGTGAGTTGAACCCCTGGCAGCAGCGATGGACCTTCAAGGCCCGGTGCTCACTCAAGTGCGGATCGGACACACTGGCTGGCCAGCCAGGGAAACCACGGGCAGGCAGACTCACCGTGTGTAGCGTGTGTGTTCACTTCACGCCATGCAGGTCTGACATGCGGTCCTTCACCAACGCTCGCGGCGACGGCAAACTCTTCAGCGCCAACTTTGTAGACGCAGACGTACGTACGGGAGGGAGGGAGCACAACAAACACACACCTTTCCAGCCGACCATGGCCTGACCGATTGTGTGTTGCCTGCCTCCTTGTTTGTCTCTCTGCGTGTGTGTGTGCAGTCAGAGATTAAGGGCACCTTCTTCGGCGCGGCGGCCGACAGGTTCTTCAATGTGCTCGAGATGGGCAAGGTCAGCAGACCAGCCAGGAACATCCCAAGAGAGGACACAGCCATGAGGGTGTGGATGGATGGATGGATGGACGAGTGCAGGTGTATCGCGTCAGCCGGGGCGTCATCAAGCAGACCAACACGTGAGCGACCATGGAGGGAGGGAGGGAGGGAGGGAGGGAGGGAGGGGCGCCTCAATGACACAGCTTTACACTGCGGCATATGTGTGTGTGTGTGTGTGTGTCTGTATGTGTGTGTGTGTGTGCAGTCGGTTCAACAAGTTGAAGCACCCATACGAGATCACCTTCGACACCAGCACCATGATTGAGGAGGTCGACGACGACCAGGACATACCGCAGAACAAGTAAGCACACCCCACACACACATACACATACACGCACGCACCTCTCTCCCTCCCTCCCTCCCTCCCTCCCTTTGTGTGTCAGTTTCGAGTTTGTCAAGATAGCTGACCTGGCGCAGCGCGAGGATGGCGACACGGTGGACGTCGTCGCCGCCGTCACCTACATTGGGGACCGAAGAACCATCACCACAAGGGTCAGCCAGCCAGTAGAAGGGTCCACGAGTGGGCCACTATGTCAGACAGACAAACAGACAGACTCTCCCTTGTCGAGTGTGTGTGCGTGTGTGTGTGTGTGGATGTGCAGAAAGGTGAGGAGCGCCAGACGCAGAAGGTGGGCCTGGTGGACGACTCGATGGCCGAGATCGAAATCACATTCTGGGGGGACAAGGTAGGAAGGCACACACACGTGTGTGTGTGGGTGGATGGAATTCCACCACACGCTGTATAGCTATGGCTCGGTGTGCGCGTCTGATGCAGTGCGGCGAGTTGGATGCTCTGGACCCCAACACCGCCCAGCATGTGGTCGCCATCAAGGGTGCACACACACACACACACACACACGCCGCCCACACGCGCCGCGCCCTTGTTGCTTACTCCCTCCCAAGACATGCATTCAGATCACACACACGCATTAATGTCTGGGTGCAGGTGCGCGTGTGAGTGCCTTTTCTGGCAAGTCGCTCAACACGAGCCACTCTACGATCATCTTCTACGACCCCCAAGACATACCCGAAGCACAAACCATCTACCAGTGGCTGGAAGGCGTATACCAACACACACACCGCCCCCAACACACACACACACACACACACACACACAAGCACGGCCAGCAACGATGACCCCCATCAATGTGTGTGTGTGTGTGTCAGCGGGCGGGTGACTTGAGTGGCGTCAACAAGCTGACGGGGGGCGGGCCGGGCGGCTACAGGGGACCATGGCGCGTGAGAGAGGGGAGCGGGCGAGGGGAGGAGGGAAACAGGCAGGCCGTCTGATGGCCAGCACAGGCAGCACCGCCTGTGTGCACCGTGTGGCGTCTGGTGTGCGTTGTCTGTCACTCAGGGTTCGATAGCTGAGTTGGAGGAGGCCAACCAGGCGGCTTCTGCTGCACTCAATGGTATGGGGCCAGCCAACTGCATGCACACACAGATGGACAGACAGATGGACTCACACACGTGTGTTGTGTGGTCCCTCGTGTGGTGTGTCTGCCATCCATCCATCCATCCATCCATCCGTCCATGTGTCAGACAAGGGTGTGGACCACCAGATAATCCTCAAGATCCACGACATAACGGCCAACAACAGGCCGCCATACTACCTGTAGGCCTGCCTGCCTGCCTGCCTGCCTGCACAAGGGTCTGGTCTGTGATGCGCGTGAGTTGAATTGTCTTCTCTTGTGTTGTGTTGTGTTGTGTGTGTGTGGTGCCTGCCAGAGCGTGCCCCGAGTGCAAGAGGAAGGTGGAGCCCCAGGACGAGAACAAGTTCAGCTGCAACCAATGCCAGAAGACCATCGAACACAAGAACCCTCGGTGGGCGGGGCGGGGCGTCCAAGTGTGCGTCTCGATGACCGAGCCCCCTCCCCTCCCACCCCACCCCACCTCTCTCTCTCCCTTCTCCCTCGTCGTGCAGGTACATTCTCCCGCTGCACCTGATGGACCACTCCAAGATGGCCATATACGCCACTGCATTCGACGAAACCGCAAAGGTACCTACCGCTCCCCTCCGCCCTCCCTCGACGCACACACACGCACGTATGTGCGCACAGCACATGGACCACTGACTTGGCCATGGCCCACACTCTCTTAGGTGATATTGGGGATTGATGCCGCTGCGTTGGAGCCGCTGTATGAGGCGGGGCAGAACGAGGGCGACCCGACGTACGAGGGCTACATCACAGAGGCCACACACAAGGTCGGTAGCTCACTCTCTCACACAAGAGACAGACACATGAGGAATGCGCGTGTGCTGTGTGTGCTCATTCGCGTTGTTTCGTTTGTCCGTTCAGAGTTACCACATGTCGATCCGCAGCAAGATGGAGACCTACAACGACCAGACGCGCGTCAAACACGTGAGCGATCCAACCAACCCACCCACACTCACACAGAGAAAGAAGAGCCAGCCAGCACGATGTGTATGTGATTGTGATTGTGATGTGTGTCAGACTGTGACCTATTTGGAGGAGTGGACTCAGGAGAAGCGTGCGCGTGAGGGCAACAGCCTGCTCGACCTGCTAGAGGAGGAGCTCAACGACCCCAATATCGCAAATCAACTCTACTACAACACAGGACAGGAGGGCGGCGCACCAGACCCAGCAGCAGCAGCAGCTGCTGCTGCCAACGACATGGATGGTGAGTAATTCGTGTGCGCGCAATGCATGTGGTGGTGGCAATCCATTCTTGGATGGCCATCTGTGTGTGCAAATGGCATGGGAGATGGTGGAGTGGATCAGGGCGAAGTGCAGTGGGACCAGTACGGCGAAGGCGAAGGCGACATGGCCGACTGACGAGTGAGGAGTAGCTGACTGGCTGGCTGGCTGGCTGGCCGGAGGCAAAGATGAGTTGGAAGCCACCCACCATACGTAGATAGCTGAGGACGGGGCGGCTGCCTGGCCGCCCCGGGGCGTTCAACGAATCGAATTGGCCTTGACTTGCATCAATGACACTTGCGTGTCTGTGCATGTATATTGGTCGCTGTGAATAGCTAGCTGGACGCCCCCTGGTGGCCATGGCCACCACTCCTGCCTGCTGGGTGCTCTTTGCTGCATGTACGAATAGTTTCTGATTGGTTGGTTACATCGTTGTACGTCGTCACATGAATCATAAAGTCAGCCAGCTCATTCACACACGCACGCAGTGTCCACACACATGCTCCTGTGTGTCCCACTCCGCTCCGCCCCGCCCCGCCCACAGAGGCAGGGGGGTCGGTATAGCGACATGAACGAAAGACAGACAGACGGGCGATGGATGGATGGATGGAATCGGTGGCAGAAAAGGAATGAATCAAGCAGCAAGACAACCAGTGGTGTGGTGTGGTGTGTGGTGCGGTGCACTTCCCCTCCCCTCCCCCCCCCCCC